GGAGGGGGTGTGTGGGGGTGGGGGGGGGGGGGGGGGGAAGGAGACCATTCTGAATAAAAAAATTATTATATTAAGGTTCTATGTTGTGGGGCACTGTACATACAAGGTTTATCTAGACATTAACAAGGAAACCCAATCATGCACAAAAATTCTGATTTGATTCAAGTTCTTTTTTTAAACAGTTATAATAATCTCATATATGTATAAAGTAATAAAGGAAATAAGTAAATGCAGAGTTAAAATGAATGAAATTTTACTGACTCAAAACCATTATAAACATGGCAATCAAAAAAATCACCTTCAGAATCAAAACCCAGCCATCCACAATGTAGGCAATGTGAACCACCATGAAGAAAATATAGAGTGCTTACTCTTATGAGACTTACGAAGCTACAGTAAAGGAAGTTAAAAATAAAACTATGTATTACAGGGACCAGTGAAGTATTGATACCTGTATTCCCTTATACAGCAATTTTATCTAAATGTCTTCCATTATTCTTATAGTCAAATAAACATCATGCTTGTAACATATCACTTCCAGCAAGCATTATCATTAGCATACATCTACCAATACATCATTTGTTCAATAATGTTAATTTATCCATGATCATTATTCTTCATTATGAAATGTTTCCTTCTAGCCTCATTTTTTTATTCAATACATACCAGCACTTGTCTCTTGTTTAATACTGGCCTCTCTAGCTTCATATTCATCCCGTATGGCTTGGAGCATCTGAAGATGATTAATCCTAAGAAATGCAATGTAGGCATGAGAAAGTATTAAAAATTATACCATGAGCACTGATGACAAGAAAACTGAAGAAGCAAAAGTTGAACAAAGCACATTTTAGCTAGTTTGAGCATATTTGAAGGTGTCTGTTAGCCTGCATACCTGTATGTCACAACTGTAAACACTGCAACAAAAATCAAGCATTTGAAACTTTCTAAGACCAACACCAGATGTGATGTAAGCATACAGCTGGCATAGTAATTCCAGTCATTCATAACCTCCTTGTATTTATCCATATGTGGATTTTCTCTACCTTCCATTAATTACAATTATTTATGCCAGATGTCTGCTAAGCAAAACGACCAACATGTCTGCCTAATTTGAAGAAAAACATCAATTGAAGTCATTGACCTTTCTGAGGCATGTGGCTAGGTTCATTGGCAAAATAAAGGTGAACATGTGCTTCCCTTGGACATCTATATTAGCTGGCAGATGAGTTGGTAGCATAACAAACTAGCAAAGATGTGAAGACCACACACACACAAGTCTGAGTGCACGTTTCTTTCCCTTTTCTTTGTGGATTTGTGTTATATTCCCATAAATATTTATTTAAACTGTGTAGTTGTATATTATTCAACATATGTTTCAAAATTTCTATGCAGAACTCATACCAAGAGCAACTGAAAATGTATATCAAAGTATGTAGATTGTGATATTTGAAAGATAATTTGTAAATGTTGTTTGTCTGTAAAGCATTATCAGTCCAATAATCTTTAGTTACCAAGCAAAAAAAACAACTGTATTTTCATGCTGCATTCACAAAGCTATAAGTGTGAGGAAGGCAGGTATTTCTTTTATTTTTCTGTGATTTCTTCTTCATTGGCATTCTGATTTAAAAGTTCCATGTCCAAATTTGACCGCAGATAAACAATTTTGTTTGCAAAATACACATACCGGGTCTACAATTTATGAGGCTGCGGTCGTGCTTGCATTGCGTGGTCGCAATGCAAGCACAACCGCGGCCTCATAAATTGTAGACCCGGTACTTTAGAGTGTTTTTCTTTCATAAAGTATACCAGTTACTTGTACAAAATATAAATTAGTATGTTAGCCTCAGAAAGGGATGCGTTTAAAACCTAGCATCTTTAATTAGATGTTCAGTATCCATGAGCCTCAGCAGATGTCATTCATCTCAGCACAGACTCAGATTGTACATAACAATGAGTGGTGCCTAGTCCAATGTTGTTTGTTAAAATGACTTACCAGATAGGAAAAGCATAATGTGATACACAAGGTTTGCCTACGATCTAAAACAAATCCATGGAAACAATTAGAGAATATAATGATGCTACCTCCACCAAATGCAAACAACAGGTCTCATAAACAGATGTAGGCAGTTAAAGATTAGCAGTTATGCAGGATGCCAGAAATAATACAGATACAGTTAACATATTCAAAAATTTTAAGCCTACTGTGTAATGGGCTAAAATTGGGTATGCACTGAATTATACTCAGAACAGTTCAATAATCAGAACAAACTTAAAAAGGATAATTCCACATAATTTTGTTGACAATGGGAAAAATTGGAAGTATTTTTTATTTATTCCCATATTAACACATTTCCTGTCACAAACATAACAGACTCATCTAACATGCACATTACCAACCTCGCAGATGACACATCTACTTCATGGGTCTGTGGTGCAGAAATATCATTTTCACAATTGTCAGATGATGGTAGAAACAGTGTGGGGACAGAACCTCGATTGAGACGCAACCTTTCAGGAGTATTATACTGGGAAGTTGCAAAATGACGGTGGCAAACATATTTCTTCCTGCAGTACCTATGAACATCTTCAATATGCAAGTTAGGGTTCTTTATAGCACGAAGCCAGTCTTCTGCACTGAAATGACAATTGATACAAAACAAGTCAAAAAACAGTTAACACACTTCTGTAAACACATCAGCTCATGTTTTAACTACTGTCCTTCTTGAGAAGCTAATAGTCAGCTAGTCAAGAAATTCCCTGCATTTTTAAGAACCCAAAGGTTTATTACCATGTTCACATATACATACTATTGATTCCAATCCTAATCCACTTCAATACAGTCAATAAATTTACAGTCTATCTCTTAAAAATGCATTCAAATATCCTCCTTTCCCAACTAAACGGTATTAAGTTCTCATTTAAATTATACACACAAGTACAGTAAGTCAAAAAGTATCCACAGTGTTCAACTGTTTTTTTAAGATTTCCCCACTACTGAATGATCATGCAACCATAAAAATGGAATCTGGGTCATTTTATGTCAAAACAACACTGGTTACAACCTGATTCCTCAGAAATTAATTATTTTTGATACTGTCTTCCCAATAGACATAACTATTTGTGTCAAAATTTTGCTGCTTTATGGCCAGTTAATTCATTTTTTAAAAAAAAGGATACCCAAATTTGCCAAAACACTCATTTTGGGCACTGATTGTCTTAAAAAAGTGGAATAAATAACTTCTCCCAAAATTTAGATGAGCTTATTTTATGCTCATTTCAAAGGTAATTATAAACCCTGTCCAATGACCCATCATACCAAACTTCAGCATAATTACTTTTTCAAGGGATTCAAATTTGACCTTTGACTGTATTTCTCAAAATGCAATGTTATAATTCTTTTTTTGAAAAAAAATCTATTGTGTGCATGTAACTATTATTTAAAACATCTGCATATATCAACCTGAGATTGATATGGGATTGGGTTTTGTGAAGCATTTTACTGTGAAGTCTCATTAATTGTATTGATGAGGTATCTTCAAGCAACATGTTTCTTTTAAATTCTTTATATTTATTAATTCAGGTTTATGTTAGTTAACTGTGTGTATTTATTGAGAAATACTGACATTTATATAATAAGATACCTTCCAGTAAGATGGCTACTTGGGTCGAAATATATTCCTAATGCAAATAATACAACAATATTTGTGTTACGTTGACGGCATTGTAATCTCTATAATAATAAAGAAGAACATTATAGGATGAACACCATGAAGCCCATTTAGATTATTATAAACATACATGGTAATATTTTCCATGCATCATTTTCAATCTTATATTCGCCACGAGAGGTTAATTCGATTTTTAATTATTTTTAGATCTTGTGGTTATATGGTCTCTTACTTACAGCTTCTTATTGGTAGGGAAACTATGACACGATTCTTTTAACTTGTTACGATAGTTTATGCACGTATGTACAGAACAATTATACCTTTCTCCCACCATTATCTCATACAAAACCAAATACATACATAACCTCAACAATTCTAACATGTGAAGAAAGCACGTTAATACAGACACTACCAACATTAACAAAACAGAAAATACCAACATGAAACAACGCAGAGAGAAGCGACCTGGTGGACTAAAGAAACAACCTCGTAAAAAGTTTCAAAAGTAGACAACCAGGTTGAAATATTTCTTTATTATAATCTGTGGCCACTTCAGAGAGTTCGGTTTGGCGTTTATGACACAAGTTGTGAAGAAATTCCCCCCACAATGTGTAAATTTGTTGGGTCTACATGTAAGGATGTAGCATCTCTCGCATGGTCTATCACACAAATGGCAGATGCAGCTTAATTCGGGAAGTGTGGTAGTTCCTCTTTCGGCAGATCCTATTGTGAAAACTGCTGGTGGCCAAGCGTATAGTTTTATGTCACAGCTTATAGTTCGATTTTTCCCATTCCCTGTTGGACGTGCCTTCAATAGAATAACTCATCACACTTCCCCCCAAATTTGGCACTTTTTATTCAGCAATTTCTTGCTCCTGATAAAGAAGGGTTCCTTACGCAAACCGTGACGGCAGCAGACATCCTCTCCTTCACGTGTTACTTTAAGGTTTGCCTGCAGTCTCACCAACGCATTAAAAAAATTTAGATCATTTGGTGATTCACCATTGCAGCAAAAGAAGTCGGTTTCTGAGTTTTCCTCCTTTACTAAAGACCCTACTGTTTTCTCATTGTTGATTGTGAAATAATTTTCCAGGGACGAAATGTCGATGAAATTGAATGCATATTGGAACTCCAGTTTGCACTGGGGTACGAGGATCATATCATATGCCTACATGTGCAATGTTGTCTTCTTGGGGCCATACAGTATTATTTGTGCTACGTCTATGATAGCAGTATTGAATAGGATGGTTCTGAGAGGGTCATCTTGAAGTAGTACATTCTAGTGTGTTGATTTTCGAGATGGCGATGTTGTCGATGTGGACATGGCGTGCTTTAATTTCGTTACGAGCTCGTTGTTTTCAGAATGTTAAAGACTTTGGACAAATCTGCGAATACCATGAATTCATACTGGCAGCCTTAGAGGTTCTGCGTCGTTCATCACGTTGTGTACTACTTTAAACGTCGATCTACATCATGTGAAGCCGAATTACGTCTGGCGAATCGTCAGTTGTAGGTAAGAAGTTTTGTAAGCAGTCACGTGAATACTTTTAAAGGCGAGCATTTCATGGCATATATATCTTCACCTTGGTAGGCATTTCATTAAACTAAGTGACTATCATGAGGTCCTGCTAGGTGTAATACTGTACTCTGCTGTAGGTACATTTCAACTAATGGATTAAGAAACTGGGGATGCACAAAATATCAAAGTATGGTCATAGTGCAAGAATCAGTTTGGCACCTACCCCATTTATATTCATTGTTTTAAATCTTTGTCTTCATTTAAGTTCTAAAAATGTTAAACTGTATACCTGAAAGTCAGGTTGAGGTACTGAACCATATGCTTTAAGTTTATTGCTTATCTGATATCAGTGAGGCAGACTAGAAGTGTTTTTGCCTTTTGGCTAACAAGGGTTTCTCACAAGACATGCCTGGGGTATGTCTGTTTCCCACAGGAACTAGTTGGAGATGTAATGTTATAAGAAATTTATATGAAGTATGGTTTAACAAAACCATTATGAATTTCCACGGTATTTTCTTCAGGTTTTCAAACTAAGACTATATGAATTTGTCTTCTCTATTGTGCCTAAAGTACTGTGTAATATTTCATAACATACAATTTCATACAATCCATCTAACCAGATGATCCCAGAGAACCATCCCCTGTATATTAATAAGTGTCATCTTTTCTACTTATCTGGCGACAGACTCCTTCATCTGCAATCCAGATGTTCCATGCTGTAGTAGGAAGTGCTCCATTTAACATGGAAATTATGTATGTACTTTATTCCCAGAAACATTTTGAGACATGCAATGTTCAGAGATCAAATTTTTTCTTTATTTTGCAGTTACATCATTATAAATTCTTATGCATATATTCTGTCAAATTTTTATACTCTGTACTTTGCTGATTAATACATTTATTGGCACCACAAATTATTTTCCAACTGCTGCAACATTTAGTTCATTTACTGTTTCTGAGACTTATGATCTAAAGGACATTTCTGTCCTCTGCCTAACACTTCTCATGTGAGAATTCATTTACTCCTGACAGGATAGTGTATCAACCTATGTAAATATGCTCTGAACAACAGTGGGGGAGTGATATTCCACACTGACAAAGATCTGATTTTGTCAGAAGTAGGGTAGGGGAAGGCACACATAAAAAATCACAAGGATACAAGCAGCCAAAAACCCATATGTCTTATTCTTTGATCACTGGGTAACACATTGCACTTCATGAAACATTACTTGTTAGAGCTACAAACTATTTATTTATCTTCATTCTTTTGATATAGGAATGTGTGTTGGTATGCCTTTGCATGTCAATTTTATTAGCAAAAGCCTTTTTACATAAGGGGCAAGGATAAGGACGCTCCCCTGTGTGTGTCCTCTTGTGTATAACCAAAGACGTTTGTCTTTTGAATTTACGATCACAATAAGGACATGAAAAGGGGAACACATCCCGATGAAGTGATATATCATGCCAATGGAGAGAATGTTTAGACTTAAATTTGGTGTGGCAGATGGGACAGGAGAATGGGCGATAATCACTGTGACTTATATTGTGTTGTCCTAGTTCTTGTTTAGTTAGGAAAGATTTTGGACATTGCTCACATGTGAATGGCCTATATTCCTTATGAACTCGTCTCATATGCTTCACCATATTGCCTGTCCCAGATATAGGCTCAGAACAAATTTTACAATGTCCACGGGGACCTTTTAAGTAATCTGACACTACCTTTTTCAACTTGCAAGGGTTGCCATGTTGCAAAAGTTGTTCTTCATTTAAAAAACATCTGTTACACTGTTCACATGTAAATAATTCATATATTCTGTGTGCTGTCTTCATATGTTTCAACATACTATTTGTTCCTGTAACACTAACTAAGCATACTTCACAATGTAGAATTTGTTCCATTCGATACTCTTTTGCAGCATCTGCAATCTCCTCCGCAGAATGTGCCATGGCTCTATGTTCCTCCACCATGTCAATGTTTTGGAAAGTCTGGTTACATACAACACAAAGGATCTTTTTACATGTTACCTTCAGATGCCTCCATTTGTTACCACTATTTGCAAATGCCTTCAAGCATATTGGACATTTGTACATTTTCTGTTTAGTATGACAGTTCATGTGTTCTGTTAAGGATCTCTTGCGTTTGAAGACTTTTCCACATGTTTCACAAGTAAATGTTTTAGTTGAGTGACTGTACTTGTGATACCTAAGTGCATTGGCTGAAGAATAACATTTGCCACAAACTGTACACTGATACGGTTTCTGTCCTTGGTGAGAGCGTACATGAGACTCTAAAATAAGCTTGGAAGAAAGAATTTTCCCACACATGTCACAAATTAGTCTGGTATCTGTAAGATGCGTCTTTTTATGCATAGTTAAATTGGCCTGACAGTGAAATTTCTTACCACAAATGTAACAACAAAATCTAGGAGGATTATGTTTCAGCTGATGATTCTTAAGACTTTCCTTGATTCGAAAACCTTGTCCACAGTTTTCACAAATGAAAGGCTTCTCGTTTGTATGTGAACGAAGATGGGCAAGCAGTTTATGTTTCTGTATAAACTTTCTGCTACAGTATTCACATATAAGTTCACTTGGGCCTTTAAATTTCATGTGTATCCGTTTATGAGCACTTAAAGTCCTTTTTGAAGAGAACATCTCTTTACACTCAGCACATGAATATTTCAGTTTTACTCTATTCTTCTGAAGCTTCAATACTTCAGAAAATATCTTATTATAACAGCTTTCCTGTGCATGGCCATTTATCTCCTGACTTTCTTGTTGGCCTACATATACTTCTACCTCAGGACAAGCATCAGTTTCATTTGTTACAGGTACTTCATAAATTTCACTATAATACTCTCTGTTGTAACCATCTTCATACAAAAACTCAGATTCTTTTATTTTATCAAATGTCGGATTAAAAGTTCCTTCATCAGCATTTGAATCTTTGGGAATTCTGTTGCCAGTTCCAGTATTAAGACCTGCTGACTTTACAAATCCCATGATTCCTTGAAGTTTTTGATCTGCTTTAATAAATTCAGCCTTTATTTGGTTGCATGTATACAGCTTGTTTGCACATGGCCTGCACATGTGTTGGGGAAGTCCATCATTCAGTGATACCTGAAAGAAATTGCAACATATGAATATTTAAAATATTCAGTTCAACAGCGAATACTTTGGATGAAAAATGATGTAATGATGATAAATGATAAGAATAATGTGCAAGGAAGCAGTAAGAGCCTATTTTTAGAAAGTATTTCAGCATTTACTTAGAGAAAATAAATTAAAACATTAAAATCCAGCCAGAACAACAGGTACATATCTATCTTTCAGCTGAGAAATAAATTGGATACCCCCAAAAATGAACCAAGAGCATACACAGCAACTAACATGGTTGAGTGCTTAGCACATGTGCATACAATTTTGGAGGTCCCATATAATGAGTTTTAAAACCTTGTTTCTGCAAGAAAATTCTGGTACAGTAAGTACTATGAGCTATGAAATTTTCCACCCACATCTTTCTCTATTCAGAATTTATAATAATCCCCTCATTAGACAGTTTATAATCTACAGAGCTGAGAAAACTTTATACAATCAAATAACATGGCTACTACCTGATGACTGGAATGTATGGAAAAGTAATTGAACATAAAGACATCTATATTCTGTATTATCATAATATATATGAAAAAGTGAGAACCTGCTAGCCAGCTGTAATTGTATAATGACACAGTTTTCCAGAGATCAGTAAATAGAAAATAAGGATTCAGGTCACAAATAAATGAAAATTGTTCATATTCTTTAAATTAACATATGCTAGTGAGGTTACATTAAGATTAACCAAAGCAAAATATAAGTAATGTAAACCCTTGTCCAACACAGATTTGCTTATATAAGCAAAAGCCAAAAAATTGAACAGAAAATTTTAAAAACAGTAGGATTACAGGTCCTCATTGTGGTGCATATAAAGATCGCTATCTTCTGGGTTATAGCGCTGTGTACTCTGGTCTTTTTCAGAGGCACTTTCTGCCTCCATTATCAGGGCATTCATCACCTTATCTTCACCAAAAGACAGTTTGCTAAACATGCTCTAGTACTGTGCATGCCAGCACATGCTCTAATATTCTCTCCTAATGTCTTCAACTCACCTGCATCTCTCTTTCATATGACCCTCAATGAATATGTATTTGGTGTGGCCACTTTTGGCTGTTATTTTGAAATTCCCCTTAGACAGCAGTATGGGATCAAAGCATAAAGCATCTAATATAATGTTCAATATATTTTATAAGCCATATGTATTGTCACAATATTTATAGTTGAATTATGTTTTTATTTCATATATAGTATAGGAAGGGTCATTCATTTGTGTTGTGTAAAATATCTACATGTCTAGGTACTAATGGCAGACTTTATGTAGCCAGATTCATGTATCCCATTTAACCCATAATTTTCAACATTAAGTTGTATAATGTGAATTTAACTAATGAAACATTCTCGAGGATCCTAGCACCTGCATTTGACAACAAGGTACTTGTAGGTTATCGGGACACATCGGTTTTAAATAGGATAGGATAGGTTAGGTTAGGTTTTGTTTTTCCTTTTGGCAAACAAACTCTGAACGAACTAACAGATAACAACAACAACTGAGTATACTGATACGCATGAGCAGTTTTCCGTCCAATCCAAGTAAAGATATTCGACTCTCCTGTTTTGTGTCCCAATAACCCACAAGTACCAACAACAGTTTAGTGTACATTCCATTATAATCAGGCTGGTTAAGTTTTGATGTAACTACAAAAGTACTTACCACACCAGGAAGTACTTCATCTAGTAAGCCCAACCAACCAACAATGGGCTGTTTTGGATGTAATTCATTTGCACATGCACATAATCTGCATATCTGAGATGAAATTCTTTCCCAAGAAAAGACTGTTTCTGTGCATGGGAGATTCACTCTGTTTAAAGCTAATTTATTGTTCCTCTCTTTTTGATTCCTTGAAATTACATTTTGTATACTGTCCGAAATATATGCTTGATTCAAATCATGTTCTTTAGCCACATCATTATATGCTGTATCTGGTACTGGTAATTGTGTTGAAGTCTTACAGCTTTCAGTGACTGATTCCATTTTTAGATGTCTTACAACATTATGGTCTGCATTATCCTCTGTTACATAACCTTTCAAAAATACTTCCTTGCTTGCAATTTCTCCTCTTCCAGAAGTGTTTTCTGTTAACCTCTCATTTGATACTGCATTTCTAACATTTCTCTTCAAAGAAACTTCATTTACATTTCTACAATAGGCATGATCAAAAGACTGCAGTTTTGTGCCTAAAATAATGAAAATAAGTAATCAAAGATTAAAAGACAATGAATAATACACATGTATAAACTTCATAAGTTTTATTATAACATAATTCATATAAAGAGAAAACAAGTTTTGGCCAGCCAAAGGTGTTGCCTAAATCAATCATTCCTTATAGCCAGTTTCAGGATTACATTTTGTTATCAATTATATATGGCATGCAGTATTTGATAACTTCTCAGCTTCCCTTTAATTCAGATCAATTAACAATCATAAGGTAACCTTTATGTTCCTGTGTCACTTCTTACACATGAGTCACTCTAGCATACCACTGCACTATTAACAGTGGAGGTTATGTCCAGCCAGCAGAAATAGAGTACAGGGATTTAAACCTAACATTGCTATATGATAAAGGTTAAAACAACAAATTTAATGTCCATTTTCCTTCATTTCACATCTCATTAAAATATAATTAAAAATATTTATGTAATGAATACATATATGAGGACTTTCATTACTTCAGTGATCGTTATCTGTTTACATAATCACTTGAATTAAAACAAGCTCTTTTACAAAAGGAACCTCTACAATAACTACCACCATGGTGAACAGTATTCCAAGAACAGCTGGTAGTTGTACAACTGATCAAAAAAGTCCTACTTTTATAGAGCACAGTGGTTCTTTTATTATGCTCACAAAGACATATGTTCCTCAGGACTACATCTGAAGTCAGTAATCGTTTTCTCAAAGATGCATTCATCTTTTGTACAAGTGAAAGCAGTTCACACATTTAGTTTGTTCATATCCATCTGTGTACTTATTACATTTTAAGAAGTAATTTACAAATTTTGATGAAATTTGCTACTGACTGAATGCTGGCTGGCAAATTTAATTTTGATTTCCATCAATCCAATATAACCTCAATTTTACATTAATCTCAAATGAGTCTTCCTCAAAAATGGCACATATATATTAAACGTGATATAACATTCCTCTTTAAGATATGGTTAATATTTAGTAAAATACAATTAAAATTATTGATTTTTTGTGATTCCTGGAATTCATACCACGACCCCGGGGGGGGGGGGGGGGCTTCAGCCAGCAGGGCGTTTATGGTGTCAGATTAATCTCTAATCCTCACCAATAACCTAAAAAACATTAGTCTTTGTTTCATCTGTTACCTTTCTTTGACTTTTTTAAAGCGATGCAGCAGGACATTACTGTTTTGACCTTTCTTTGTAGACCTGTTGTAAGAAATCAATGCACTACATGCATAAACTATGTTTTTGTTTGCGAGTTCTTGCTGTTGAAATCGTTCTTAGATTGTATCGTCGCCCATTTTTCTATTATCCATGATCGTCGCCACAGGAACGCATTATTATTAGATCGATACCAACCTATGGATTATCACACAACCTCTACCGCCATATTGTTACATTGAAATCATGGTATGTTTTAGCAACAGTTAACGTACGAGAAAAATTCCAACGATGACTCCCTCACAGTTTAGCTGATTTGTAAGCATGTACACAGTGGACGCCGACTTCTCAAAATTTCATGGGTGGTTAGGTTTATGCTACAAATTCTCCCGGCAGACATTCTCAGAGGATTGAAAATTGAACTATGGTATGTTCGCTCACACCTCTGTCACTTTTGAATTCCAAGATTCCCCTTATTCAAAACAAAAATTACGATATAGAACTTAACTCGCTCCACGACCTATCAAAAATTTGGAGGCGTAAAGAGTTATGAAAAATATAAACATCCAATAAAAATATTCTGGGCCAAAATTAGTACCTTCTTGTGTTCGTTAGAAACACAATTATGGAAATATAGTTTAAAAGTTAAACCGACGGTAAGGGAAGTTCACCCCCCCTCCCTCCTGAAATTTAGTGGTTGCCCGAGCCGCAGACAACCGCGTAGTCGGCCCCCAAGCCGCAGATATGAAACAGTATACAATTTAACACCCCTTCTTCATGGCTCATACACTAGGGCAGTTTGGTAGGTTGTACGTAAAATATCCATTACTCGCTTAAAAAAAAAAGAGAAAAAAAAAGAAAGAAAGAAAGAATTATCCGAGGAGGGAAGATGAACGGACACATTCAGTGATGAAACTTTTTGAAACCTAACCACTTGCGGTGACGGATCGTGCCTTAATTTTCGGGTTGGGCATCACTATAAAAAATTAAAATAAAATTTCTGAATTCTAGTAAATTTCATTATCGAGAAATACAGGTATGAGAGGTTGCAGCATTCTGCTAAGAATCTAAAGTCTTTTCTTAAAAATACGTACATGTAAAAACTTACTTTTCACAAAATTATCAGAGCATATTCAAAAATATTAATGTTCGTATAAACTTACAAAAGTATGTTACATGTTTATTCAGTTGACTGGCTGTTTAGTTCTTCCCATGATATAGATACCTTCTTCTAGAGAGAGGTAGTGTCCTAGCAAAAGAGCTTTGTCGCGCAAGACGAAAAAAGAACGTTGTGACTAAAATAGCTACAAATAATTTCACGTGGAGCAGCGCGCACGCGAATATGGTGCAGTCTTGCTCCGATAGTTGGCACAAGCGGGTGGTACAGATAGCATGGCTACGAATTCCGTGCTTCTCTGGTCAGGGCAACGAATGCCCCTTCTAGGACTTGGGACCTGGCAGGTAAGGCATGAAATATCTGAAGTTTCGTAGTTTAACTAAATTTAAATTAAATGCGTTTCACAAACGCCCAACTCTTTGAATACAAATTGGTTGCCTTCCAAAGTATTGATCATCGCATAAAATAGCAAGGGATGAAATGCTATTAAGTGTCTGATTATGCTAGAACCCAGATTGTGGTGGAAATAGGGCCTAAAATTTAGTTTCAACTTAAACTTTCTATGATTCTAATCCCTCGTCTCCCATAACAAGTACCACAGGATACTTTGCTTCGTTGGATTTCAGGTTTCCACGGCGGTGATTTCTTCTGCAACGATTTTTGGTGGAAAATGCACAATTTTTCGATACATATTGTACAAAAGACGTATCAGTTGGTTTTCCAGAATTTTGCCGAAGTTTCGTTATACGATATGCTCTTTGTTATCCGTATTTCCTTACCAAACATATCCCTTTACAGGCTTCTGGAGGAATTTCCTCCCCGGTCGTAATTCTGAAAATCCTTCACGTGCACCAAACCAAATACCCGAGGTAATACGAACATCGTGGAAGCCCGCGTGATCAGCGCACAACACGCTCCTCTGCCTTTAGCTGGTTAAGAAATTCTCTACTTTTACAGAACCTCAAGGTTCATTACCACCCGCCAATGGCCTATCCTAAACCACTTGAATACATAGAACCTTTCAATATTTAATTTGATAAGAACAGTTTTTTGCGTTCTTTACGATTTAGCGTAATTGAAGAACGCCTCACGGGTACGTTCTGTTCGTGATGACAGGCACCACACTTCCAAACTACGCAAATATCTCCGACCCGGCACAACTTTGACGCCGCGTCCGCCATTGCAACGTTCAAGTTAACTTCAGCCGGGGGGGGGGGGGATTCCACGACCATTCACAGAAGTAACATTCTGTATTTTACTGTCCGTCCTGGGTCTATGGGACAGATCGGGCCAAGACCCTGGGCCCCCTTTAATAATTCACTAGAAATTGGAGATTTCCTACCAGCTACTGCACAACCATGATGGATAAACCTCTGGGATGACGCCACCACCAGATGGTGTTCAAACCGATTAATTTATGTATATTATTCCATCATTTGCCAAGAACCCCCAAGAGGGCTGTGAAGCTCCATTTTGAGATGGGCTAGTAGTCTAATTATAATACACATAAATTGACAGGCAGAGATGACATTAAATTACAAACATACAATTTAACAGGAATTTACAGATATCTGAAGGTTCACTTTTTTTAGAATTTCTAAATCATAGTTTTTAAAGTTTAGGGCCTCAGATTCTTGTATGGCATCAACAGAGTCATCAAATTGTAAGAGTTAGGAACCAGTGGCTTAAGTTGTTGACAGCATTATTAAAAACTATAAATGAAGATGATTTGTCTACTGGGATGTGCCATGTAGACAGTGCAGCACCCCAGAAATCTTCACACATGCTGTCATAAGATCCTAAAATCTCACAAAACTATAACTGTTTAGTTATGCTAAACAGAGAAATGTACTAATATACTGAAAGTCAGGCCAGTGCTATGGTGATTTTAAAATAATTGGATAACTCATTACTAAAGTGAATTGAATAAAAATTTACTTGGATATTATCCATCGTCTAGTAATAAAACGTAAAAAACGTAAAACGACGTTTCGGAGATGGGGCTCTATCTCCGTCTTCAGGTTCCTACTCAGTTGGGCCCACTAGATAGAGCTAATCCTTATCTCCGGACTGTACACTGGCTGCAAGACCAGTGTTCAGTTTCTGGGTGAGAAACAAGGAATGCCACTTTTCACACAGCTTTCCTCATCTGCATACATCTGTGTTTTAGTCACCATGAATAAAATATAATCAAGAGATTTGTGCTGTCAAAGATGCGAACAGACATGCCAAACACAGTTCTGAACCTTGACTAATTAATTGTGAAATTTATTGTTAAAAGGCAAAACCTGAAGAAGTTGAAAATGCAGTAGAGGTGGCACTTCAAGAAGGGTATCGTCTTATTGACACAGCCTTCAATTATAACAACGAAGAAGCTATTGGGCGTGCACTGAGACGGTGGGTGGATGCAGGGAAATGCCGCAGAGAGGAACTGTTCATTATGACCAAGGTAAAACAAAGCAAAAGTTTAAATATCAGCCACAATAGAGATAAAAAGCAGCTGCACAGAATTACATTTTGTCATGGCTTCTTAATACAAATGAAAAATTGCTACAGAAATTTGAGTAGAGGGGGAATGGCTAGTACATGGCTTTATGTATAGTTTATGATTAACATTCCAGAAGACGCTGCTAAATAAGTTAATGTGAGAGGTTTGTAGTGGAGCTGGTATAGCACAACCAATAAACCAATTGGGTACTGGCTAAATGATTGGGTTTCAGTTCCCAGCAGAAAGTTCTTGTTTATCTACATTCACTCTACCATGAAAAATATATGTGCTTTACTGATGAACAGTTAGCATGATTCATGCAATTTGCAACAGAAATTAACTTGATACTGAGAGATTAATCAAGTAAATGCAGTGTTAGATATTTCACTAATGACTAATTTAAGACATACCACACCCCACTTTTTTTCTCTAGAATTATGAAAATACTACAAAAAATGTTATGACACCTTAACTTTTTTCCTTAGAAGCAGTGGACCCCTCACTGACCTGAACTCACTTGTGTTGTTCTAAACATAGAGTATAATGTGTGTAGCGTACCAGGTTTGAAAGATACTGGGCTATATTTGTTTGTACCATACATATTTGAAAGAAACTTCCAAATACAAAACATTCCCATTACTTGATATTTTGACAATGTTGGCAGTTTGTACTTGTGTACTGCAGTATGAAATAAACTAATGGATTCAAAAGTTGCTTTTGAATAAGTTGCATATCATTATCACCACATGATGTCATGCTAAAGTTGTTAGCTTTTTATTTGGGAGGTGCAAGGTTTCAAGTCTCAGCCCAGAGGTTGGCTATCCTGACTGAGGTTTTCCATGGTTTTCATCGGCTTTTCCCGGCAAATGCCATGATAGAACCTTATATTAGGCCATGAATGTTTCTTCCCACATCCTTTCCACTTCACCATTCACCAACCATATTTGGGCTACTGCCAAAACCATTAATTAAACCATATATGGATTATTCTGAAAGATAAGAACTGCTTATATATGTGTAACTGTGGTCTTATTTCATAACTGTACAAGAATTTCAATAACAGGAACTTGTTTAAAAATTACTTAATTTATCCACAGCTTCCCCACATTGGAAATCGTGCTTCCGATGTGGAAATGTATCTTACTACATCACTACGTAGATTACAGCTTGACTATGTGGATCTGTACTTAATTCATGTCCCATTTGGGTTTGTACCTGATAATACTGGTGAGAATCCAGCAAAGAATGCTGATGGGTCATTTGTACTTGATGATACAGATCATCTAGCTGTGTGGAAGGTAATTTGACATTTAATATTATAGTTCCATGAAAGTGTACTTCAAAACTAGTGAAATCTGTATATAACAAAAGTTATCCCAAGTCTCTGGCATTAATATAATGTTGAATATGTACTGGCTTGCACATCATTTACTATAAAGGATGCGAATTAGATTTTGGTACACCATTACTGGTAGATACCATAACATCTATTGGGCAGAAAAATGATAATTTTATGTCAAAATAGATACTGATCCCTTAGAAAAATGTCAGAATTTAAATACAGATAAAATGTAAACAACACAAATATAATATGATGGCTTTTTAAATAATATATGAAATGTATTTATTATTTGATTAAAAGATTACGTCTTGCCCTCTCCCAAAATGCTGAAGATTAAGACAAAAGCTTTTCTCAGTGATTGATATGGTTTTGGGATATGATATATTTTCCTTAAAAAGTGCGTGAAAACAAAGAAAAATATTCTGATATAAGTGTGTGTGGGTGGGTAGAGAGAGAGAGAGAGAGAGAGAGATAAATTGGGGAATGAACAAAATTATAAGATAGGACTCTGTGATTTATACGTGGCTCATATTGTTAGGTTAGTTAAATGAATATCACAATAGACTAGACAAGTGGCTTTGTTGAAACAAAGTATGAACACAAAATTGTCATGGTAGAAAACTCTTGAAAAGTGACTACTTGGAATACTGAGATAGAGATTTAAAATACTTTATTTCAAATGGATCTTAAAAGACTGAATTTGGTAATGTAATATGGACTGAACTACTTCAGGATCATGTCCAATGGCAGACTTCGGTGTTAATTATATCTTTAAGTTCTAATGCTTTCAATACATTCGAACAAACTTGGATTGAAAGATCTGGTAGATTACTTTTGTAATTACAGTTTGAAAACAGTATAGAAAACTAACTGCTACAACACAGTTAAATGCATGCGATACTTAAATAGTTATAGCAGGCACTAGTGACATTTGATATTGTATTTGTGGTTTGTAAATTATGGATTTCCATTTCTTCTCGTAATACAACATTTACTATGTTAAATTAATCATAGGATTGGAGGATTTCAAAACATGGTTTATATTGGTAATTTAATGCACTTTTATGGTGGTAATGCTCCAAAGTGACTTTGTGTTACTTTGCTATATGTATATAATTTTATTAACACTGCAGCCATAAAACCAATAGCTTTTTTTTTTTAACATTTGTTAACTTAGAAGCAGTGCATTAATCTCTCCAATTTCACTTTATCTCTGCTAACCAAATATGTATTACATAAGCATAATTCAGAATTTGTGTATCCATTATTAGGCAATGGAGCAACAAGTGGATTCTGGTCATGCCCGCAGCATTGGTGTATCTAATTTCAACATATCACAACTAGAAAAGATAGTTGGTGCAGCCAGAATTTGTCCCGCTACACTGCAAGTGGAGCTTCATGCTTATCTGCAACAACCAGAATTACGTGCCTGTTGCTCAAAACTAGGAATCCCCCTCACTGCCTATTCACCCCTAGGTTCTCCTGGTGCGAAGCTCCATTTTCAGCAGAAGTACAATTTTCAATATCCGTGAGTTCATAATCTGTTTACAGACATATATATTCAAAATAACTAGCAAATGAACCAATAAAACTGAACATGAAATAAGCAACTTAAATTTAATAGTATTCTTTGTACTTCTTGTTTCATAACTGAAAAATATTTTTCTTGTGAACACAGTTTAAACATTTGTGGCCATTATTAAAAATTTTAGTTTTTGTGAATATATTCTAAGCACTTTGTGCCTGGTAAGAACGCAACTATTTATTTGTTAAGTATCCGGTGGGTAAAGTAAATATGTTTGTTACCTTCCATTTTCTCCATGAAGATCAATTTCTGTTATGCATATTCTTGAGCATTCTGCGGCAGATATTAGAAGTTCTGGAACAAAACAGTCTTGTCTTTCACCATTTTCCCCTCGAGTTTATTGCAACAAACACAAGACTTCAACACATCCATTTTTAGGCAATATGTCTAGAAATTGTTGAAACTGCGGTCCTTTATGTCCTTTATCTGAAAAGTATTTGATAAACTAAACGTTATCACCTTTCAAAACCATGTACTAATGAAGAAAAATAAAATTCTGAAGAGTCTGGACTGAGACACATTAACATTTAAGAAAGAAAGAAAAAAAACACTTGGTTTTTCTTATTTATTGTCCTGTCTGTTGAATGTCCATTGGACTTAACTAAGTGTGTGAAAAGTGATGAATAAGAAAAATCAAGAATCAACTTAACACACTGGGATGATGCACTACAAACTTATAAAGTACCGTCCAAATATATGCAAAATTTGGAATTTACTGGTTAAAGATTTCCCTTCCTGTTATAAACATGTTTTTACAATTTTGCTGTGGGAAACCTGAACTGACATATACCTATTTAAAAGTTATCACTATTAATTATCACCTGCAGTAATGAATGAATTATGATGGTAGTAATTCTGTAGATGCAAATTAAAATTTTGAGGCACATTTTGAAAAAACCTCAAAGGAACCTAACATGACTCACTACATCCACAAGTAGATTAGACTGTTAGTTTCCAAAAGAGAAAGAAATTAAAAAAGAGCAGCATTGGTTCTGTTCTGCTTATAAATGCTGGAACATTACATATTATTCATACTTCATGCTGTACAGATACTGTATAACTAATCATTTAATATTACCTTACATTTTTTTTGCCCAGGGAGAACAATGCACCAGACCTTCTAGAACATCCACTGGTGAAACAAATAGGCAATATTCATGGAAAGTCTCCAGCACAGGTATTACTCAGGCACCTGGTACAGCAGGGAATTATTGTAATCCCCAAGAGTGCGGACCCCAAACGCATTAAAGAAAATGGACAGGTACCTAATTTTATGTGCTGCTTAACCCACTGACTTACAGACTTTCTTATTCTTGCACCCTGGAAAGCTATTAGAATTACTTTCAGTGATTTCTTCCATAAAATCATAACTAAAAATATTACTTTTTTATGTGAAAAAAAACTTAAGTATATTCCTTCTTCTTTGTAACAGAATGAGGCTTATGAAGTTTGTTTCATTTCTTAGTATTAGAAGGGAGAATAGAAGTGGACAATTCACTCTCAGCTTAGGCCAATGGATTAATTCTGAAAATAGGAAAAATAGGATAATTTTATTTCTCAGTTTTATAGGAGTCACATTTAAAATATCTGTAAGTTTCAGTGAGATAATTTATTTCCTGCTCAGTTTTGTCTGTATGAGAGCAGTGTTCCTACTAATTTGACTCAAATGCCTTTCTTGAAAGAAAAACTCCTCCCAGAACCATAGTTCTTTTCAGTCTTGTCTGATTGATTCATACTATTGCAAATGTGTAGAAATTTCAATACATGAAACATCAATTATGTCATCATGTTACTGTAAAATAGTACATGTAATTGTTCAAGAGTGAAGCAGTAATTTTTCAGTGTGTCTCACTCATCATGTTCTATTTGTATAAGAACTAGAAATACGTGTATTGATGTTGACAGGTGCTTCTAAATATTTATTATAGTATTTATTAATCTCTGTCACCAGTGGCTGGATCATTTCCATGAAGAAGAGAAAAAAGACAGTAATCAGTTAAGAATTCTTGTTCACATTCGATGCCTTTTGTATCTCCAATCCAATGAGAGCTCCAGCAAAAGGATGGACACCACTATAATTCCATAGATGTGGTCTATGCTAAATGTTATATAGGCTTCCAGTCACATTACTGTTACCACAGTTACTAGTGTCTTTATTTGGCTCATTTTCACTGTCATGTTAATTCAGTACTGTGACGTGGTCACAGCTGCAGTTTTCAGTTTTTGGAAAACCCATTGAAGCTTCTATGGGGAATATATCCAAGATACTGGTTTCTCCTTTTTTTCAGCAATATGAAAATCATACTAATATTAAGATGATGTGACTTCATAGTTCTAAGAAATTTCATTTTGGCTCATGAAATGGATATAATACATTCCTTACTTGGGAAGGGAGTGGTTGTTGTTAGCCATATTGTATGGGATAATTTTTGTTAGTTCTAGCATAAAATTATCCTTGTATTCATTCAAGTCTTATCATAAACTACATAGAAAAATTCAGGTGCTAGTACATTTTAAAATTGTTAACCTAATCTAAAACTACGATAAACCATAGGAGTAATTTTTTAACTTTCTGTTGCAGATCTTTGACTTTGAACTGACTCCTGAAGAAATGTTGCAATTAGGTGGCTTAGACCTTGGGGAGAATGGCAGGATCATAAACTTTATGTTTTGGAAAGGGTAAGTATACCATCTGTTGGATTCTTTGCATGGCTGGAATTCAGGGGGGTGTGGTGTGTCACTAGTGGAGCCTTCTAAATTTAAAAATTATGTTTTTTAAATACTGATGTGTGAATGAAGTAATATTTTGTTTTTCTGAGGAAGATTATTTGAAATATAAAGTATGTATGAGGTTGAAATGTGTTTTTGGCATTAGTGCCATTCAAAGTGTAAACAGTTTTGTTTGTATACATACTTTGTTTCAATACACTACACAGTATGCAGGGTTTTAAGATTATTTGATTTTTATTAAAAACTATGCATCAGGAATTGTGCACAAAAATTTCAATTTCAATTCACATATTATCTGATCAATGTGTTGTTTGGTGTCATTTTGCTCAGAAAAAAGAGAATAACAATGACATCACTTCACTCAGATATCAATATTTAAGAACATCAATTCTCACTGTAAATGGCTCCACTACTGACTCATTGCTTCCCTGAAGGAAGCCCACACAAGCAAAACCTGGCAGAGTCATGAGTTGAATTCTACTGTGACCAGTTTGATGGAAACAGACCAATCTTACCAACAACCCACCAAAATCCGTATTATAGTCAGCGGTAGTCTTTGGCCGGTGGAATTTTCAAGGGGGGAGGCTAGGAGCGAGTCACTTGTGCGATAGTATAATGCTAACTGCACCGGGGAGCTTATCGGACTGAACGGCCAAACAAAAGAAATACACTGACCTTGCCACCTCAGGTGCACAGAGTAGGCCCGTACACCAGCCAAAAACTACTGCACCAACTATACTATGGAACATGTTTCTTACCTGCTGCAGCCTCAACTTTAGGGTAGCAAGTGTTACGGTGATATTTTGTCAGAAAATGATTAATGCACACATTTTATGTTTCTTAACTTTATTTAAATGTTTTTATTGACTTACAGAGTGGAGAAGCATCCAGAATATCCATTCAAGCAACAAGAATCAATATAAATATGCCGCCACAGAAAACACCTTACAGTATTGTAATTAAAGAATGGACTTTCAAGGAGAAAATGCATATTATGGAGAGTAAGTTGCTTATGAGTTGCAAACACTTGATTTTTGTTTTGGATGATGAAGTATAAATTTACAGTGACCTGTGATAAATTAAAAGTTGTACTCATAGTAATATTCATTTAGTGTTTGCTCCTCATCACAGATAAAACAGTCCAGTAGACCATGAACAGCAATATATTGAACATTTAATATTATATAATATAAATTTACACAAGGTAAATTATTTAATTTATATTCCTCCCAGATATTATGACAATTTTGGAAAAGCACATTTTGGGTTTGTTGCATACCTAACTCCCTGGTAGCAGAACCTGCAGGTCCACCACCGACAACACCAAGACTGCTACTGGACATGATCCTGAGCCTATGATCCATATTGAGATTATCCTCACATCTCCCCCTTGGTCTGCTCAGTGGTTATTTTTCAGAAGGATTCCCTACCAAAGTTCTATATGCACCCCTTGCCTTCCCAATGAATGGTATATATTTAGCCCTCCTAGATTTTCACTTTCCTTCCTATGTTAGGTGACCTGAAAAATTCATGCAGTATTCTAAATTCCTTACTTATTTCACCCTTCCTGTGTCAAAAAATATTCCTGAGCACCTTGTTTTCAAACACTTGTGTCCTTCCTTCGAGGTAAGAGACCATGTTTCACAATCATACAAGATACGAGGGTCGCTCATTAAGTAATGCCCCACATTTTTTTTCTCAGCCAATAATGAAGATAGAAAAGTGTACTTTTACATGCTTGAGATTTGATGTTTCCCGCGTTCGTGTACGGAGTTTCAAATGATTCCAACCGATAGCGGAGCTGTAGTGAACTGTTAAAATGGCGTCTGTGAACGACTCTCGTTACAAGCAACGAGCTGTAATTGAATTCCTTGTTGCTGAAAAAGAAACGGTGGTGAACATTCATAAACGTTTGTGTGCTGTGTATGGAAGCTGTGCAGTCGATAGGAGCACCGTTGGTCGCTGGGCTAAGAGAGTTAAAGCTTCAGGAAGTGAAGAAACCGAGCTCCGTGATCTGCCGCGCTCTGGGCGTCCTGCCACAGCCACCACTCCAGACATGTTGAACCGCGCGGATGCCATTATTCGTGAGGATCGGCGCATCACAACTCGACAATTGGCCCAACAGCTTTCAGTCAGCAATGGAAGTGTGATTGCAATTATCCGGGCTCTTGCATATTCGAAGGTGTGCGCAAGATGGGTTCCACGAAGTCTCACAGCAGACCACAGGATTCAAAGGAAAACGATTTCTTCTGAATTGTTGGAGCGTTTTGATGCTGAGGGAGAGGTCTTTCTGTCCCGGATCATTACAGGTGACGAAACCTGGATACACCACTTTGAGCCAGAGACAAAAAGGCAGTCAATGGAGTGGCATCATCCTCAATCACCGAGAAAGAAGAAATTCAAGACAACTCCCTCCGCCGGAAAAGTCATGATGACTGTCTTTTGGGACAGTGATGGGGTCATTCTTGTGGATGTGATGCCAAGAGGTGCGACCATCAATTCAGACGCGTACATCAGGACCCTGAAAACCCTCAAGAAGCGTTTTCGACGAGTTCGGCCTCACAAGCATCCAGCAGAAATTTTGCTCCTGCACGACAATGCACGCCCTCACACAAGTCTGAGAACCCGGGAAGAAATCACCAAATTGGGTTGGACGGTGCTACCCCATCCACCCTACAGTCCAGATCTGGCACCCTCCGACTTCCATCTCTTTGGGCCCCTTAAAGATGCTATCCGCGGAACAAGATTTGAAGATGACGAGAGCGTGATTCAAGCAGTGAGGACATGGCTACGGGGACAGGACAAGAGCTGGTACCGGCAAGGCATGCATGCCCTTGTTCCACGCTGGCGTAAAACCGTACAAGTTGATGGGGACTATGTGGAAAAATAGTATGTGTAAAGGAAACATTGATTTATATTGTCACTAAATTTGAGCCATCTTGAATAAATATGTTCTGAGGAAAAAAATGTGGGGCATTACTTAATGAGCGACCCTCGTAACTGGAAAAATTATTGTTTTATACAGGATGTCCCAGGAGGAAAGGTCAATATTCTGAGAGGTCATAGCTTCGGTCATTCTAAGCAAAAATGTGTATATGTACATGTGTCCTATTCTGAATGGTTTCCAAGATAGAGCTATTTCACTTTACAGTATGAATTTGGTGCCCAATATTGTCCTTCCCTATTAGATGTATCGCCCGCATAAACGAACGTCAATATGCACTCAGACAAGCAACACACCATGTCCTCTCATGAGTTTCAAAATGCATTGATGTTGACAGTGGAATTTTCGAAAATGTATTATACTAGGTCCACTGTGGTACTTTTGCAAGAGAACCCCGAAAATGGGTCACGATGGTCAAGCTTAACCATAGACGATGACAAAAAATTATACTAGGTAAACTGTACCAACTTTGTCACTTGAACAATAAATACCAGTATTAGAAACAGTACGTAATAGTTGGTGTACTGATCCATTATACTTGAATGCAAAAGATCTGATCAATAGTTGACCTATTATGATGGACTCCACATTGGATATCCCTGATAGTTTCATGCACATCAAAGACAAAACTTAATTAGATATGTACACATTGTGATAACATTTAGATGCTGTTTTCACAACCTTTCTCTGTTAGAAATATCTCAATTTATAGTAACTTTCCATTAAATCGTTTTACCAATTGCAGTAAAGCAGTTAATTGTGAAAGTCAAATTATATTCTAAAGGTTTCTGATGATGGTGCATTACAATCTGGGTTACTGAATTTTTTTAATTTTGTCCATCTGATATTCTAAAAAAACACTTCGAAAACTGGATTTGTTTATGTCCTCAAGTGTGTGT